AAAAAATATTTTATATAGGCCCTATGTTAATTTAGATTGGTTTGTAAAATAATATAATGTAATATAATATTAAAATATAAATAACTGTATTTTTAAATACAACATTGAATTATTGAACACTTACACATTTTTGAACAATTAGGGCCTATAATTTAAGTTTGTTTTTATTAGCTAGTAAACTAGTAAGACTACACATTCTGAACAATTATAGTTTTAAGCAGTGTATTAGCAGTTAGTTAGTATGCTACTCTCTGTAAAATATCTGTAAAAATGGGTCACAATCTACTATATGAAGGAATTTTCCGTATTGATTTTTCACAGGTTTTTTACCTGCATTTTAAATTCCGTATTGTATTTTGTGTTTTCGGGTTACAGGGTTACAATGGCTAATGAATAATGGATAACGGATAATATCCTGGAAAATTACTAGTATCTTTTCCATTTTTCTAGATATTTTTCTTACAGTGTACTAACCGATCAACAATCGCAGGTACAAGCTACTAACAAGGTGTATCATAAATTAACAATGATTAAATTATTAGTATTAAATTGAGCAATTGCTAATAGCAACTAACTTAATTCATGCGATGTGTGTACAGCTAGGCATCTTTGGTTTCCTCATTTTGTGTAATTTAGATGGAAAATGTGTGCCTTTTTATCTTTAGAGTCACTTATCAAAAGTTGCTAAAAGTTGCCAAATACATTTTAAAAATGGCTAAATTTGTTGCTAGGTGCTTTTGGAAGAAAAAGTTGCTAGGGTAGTGTGAAAAGTTGCTAAATTGGTAACACTGACATGTCTATAATCCCACCCACTCTAAAGCAGTACTAAACTGCAGTGGAAACGCAAACTGAGACGAGCTGTACCATGCAGTGGAAAAGTGGCAATTTTTATTTTTTTTGTATAACTTTTAATTCATCAACACAATGACTTGAATACACCTCTATAATCAATGGATTTCTGAATAAAAGTTAATTTAGAAATGTTTTGTGTGGCCATTACAAAAAGTACAAAAACTTCATCCTAAGGGCAATGTGTGGAGAAGAAGAGCAAGGAGAGAAATCTGATTAGTCAAATAAAGCCTACATTGAGTCTCAAGCACTGTCAACACTTTGGCTTCACAGATCTTTATTGAAACGGATTGAAACTATTTTTTTCATACTTTTTTCAATTAACTATAAATAAATTATTGCACATACACACATGGAACAGTTTGAGACACTCACGGTTTACAGGCAGATTATAATAATTTAGGACACAGTAAAGAGACCTTTCTACTGATTCCAAAAAACAAAAAAAACAAAAAAATAGATAGATCACAGAACATAAATGTCCAGGGTCCCTGATCATCTGGTTGAACATGCCATAGTCCTGCTGCAAGGAGACATGAGGTCTGCTTATGTGGCCAGAGCAATAAACTGCAAGGTCCATAATGTACTGTAAGAGGCCTATAAGACAGTGCTACAGGGAGACAAGGACAGCTGATCATTCTTGCAATGGCAAACCATGTGTCCCCCCCAGACATGTTTGCAAGTGCCTTGGTGGAAAAGTGGGGTAATCTCACAGCGAGAACTAGCAAATCTCCATGAGGATGTGATGCACTGTAGTGCTTAAAGCAGCCAGTGGCAACACAAGATACATACTGCAACTTTTGAAATTGATCCCCCTCTCTGTTCAGTGACTCAGCCCATTTGTTCAAACATCATTAAAACATGTTTGACTTGGTAAAAACACTTACCTGTTAAAAAGGTATTTGACGGAAATAAAAGCGGTTAAAAAAAAAAAAAAAAAAAAAAAATTAAATTTAGGATTTATATGCGCTCTATGACAAGCAACTTGAGAAACACCCACTAGTGATGTCAATGTACAAACAACCCGTAGAGGACACAAACTAGCTACCCATGATTTTTGCATAACCAGCCTGCGATCACACCTTGAACCAAGCAGCTGTAATGATTACAAAATAAGAGCTTTTAAAAGAATTTAAACCGATTACATAACCACAGAGAGAACAAAGAACACCGAAGATAAGGTAAACGTGCCAACAATAGAACTTCACTGGTCAAAGATATTGAACTACCAGTAGACAAGCATTTCTTCACCCCTTCCTAGAAGACATCATACCTACCATTAAATATTAATGCATCAGACCACATTAAAGCCCTTGCTGATTTAGATAGCCGAAAAAGGACCCAGCAAACACACCAAAGTTAATTTAAGCGATTTATTGTTTCCACACAAAATTAAGTTACATCAACTATGCAGCTATGACTTCACTTGCTGCAACAGCCTCAACAGGCCTGGTGACAAGCGCTCCTTTTGAGTAGTCTGGGAGCGCAGTGGTGCGGTATCCTGACGGTCAGGCTGCAACATGACTGATAGCTGGCTTGTGCTGACTGCAGGCCACTGGGTTGAGAGACAGGCTGGTATCGGGTCAGTCCTGGTTTTTGGCCACTAGGCTGTTGCATAGACTGGTAGCTGGCTTGAGCTGACTGCAATCCACTGGGCTTAGAGATATGCTGGTATTGGATCTGTCCTGGGTTTTGGCCACCAGGCCGGGGAACAAACTGGTAGCGCGTTTGGGCTGATTGGTATCGGATTTGTGCTGACTGCAGGCCACTGGGCTGAGAGACAGGCTGGTATCGGGTCAGTCCTGGTTTTTGGCCACTAGGCTGTTGCATAGATTGGTAGCTGGCTTGAGCCGACTGCAGGCCACTAGGTTGGGGCACAGACTGATAGCTGGCTTGTGCTGACTGCTGGCCACTAGACTGGTCCACAAATTGAGAGATGGCTTGTTCAGAACTTTGGCTGCTAGCTTGATATGACTGTTGGATGCTGGGCTGGGCCATAGGTTGGTAGCCTGCCTGTGCTGGTTGTACACTGCTGGCCTGAACGCTGGATTCATAATGTGACCCATGGCTGCCCTGCACTAACTGGTAACCAGGTAGGGAGGACAGATTTTGTCGCTGCACAGGCTTGAATATAATAGCAGAACTTGAAGTCTGGACTGGCCTGGTACCAGAAAAGAACTCTGAACCAACATGTGCAAGTCTACCTTTCTGGGGTTTGATAAATGGCTGTTGGGCACTGGACTGGGAGCTGGTCTGCATTGGTTGCTGGCTACTAGACACTACAGACTCCCTACTAGTCTGCACAAGATTTTGAGAACTGAGCTGTGCTGGCTGGGGTACAGACTCACTGTTCACACTTGTACCCAATGCAGTTGCCACAGAACCAGAAACAAGACGGCCACTACCAGCTAAAGATATCAGAGAACTTTGAAGTTGATTTCTAGCATTGGAGTCAGAACCAAACATATGAAGACTTGTCACTGGACCAGAGCCAATAGAGACTGTTTGAGGGCTATAGCTTACACTGCCATATACACCCCTAACTGCAGCACTGTAAGGGATATTCTTGGATCTTAGAGGCTCGATGGAATCAGATACAGCTCCTTGGCCATACCAGCTGGAATTTTGTGGTTTCACAACATCCTGCAAAGGGGGACCAGCCTCATAGGATCCAGGATAACCTCCACTGCGGACAAAGCCATCAACTAAGGAGAAAGGGGGGGAAAAATATAAGTCAAAGGGACATGTTGATAAACCTGGATTACAGAACTTGACTAAATAAAAAAACTAAAAAAAACAAAACAAAAAAAAAAACTTACCACTTCCAATTTGACCATGGACACAGAGACTGAGAAAGGCCAAAGAAATTCTGTAAAACAAAAGACTTGGCTTTAGTATTTGATAGAAGAACCAAACAAAGATAAAACAAATATATTGATTTAAGATCATACCTTAAGAATCGTATAGTGGTGTCCTCCATATCCAGCTAGAAATACACCAGTTCCCTACCTCAGCAACACCACTACAGAATCATAAAACACACGTTAGACCCCAACACATATTAGTGTTACTGAACTGTTCCTTTATAGTGCCTGCACCTGCCATTTACCTGTTGTTTCCTGATAATCAGTTGTCATGGAAACGTGTAATATGCAATTATTAGGTTCAGGTGTTACAGCTCTGATCATGACAACTACCGTTTCATTCCCCAGTCATGAGAACTACAAACAATGAAGATAAAACAGCAACATCAATTGCACACCTTTAATTTTACAGAGAATTGAGTTGGGTTTCTTATGAGGATAATATTATATAGGGCCTATTTAAACCCTGGTATTAAGGTCTGTCTCTGATAGGAGGAAATGTTCACCAGTGGTCATGTGTTAACATGCGTCTCAAATGTATCTCCCATGATCACTTGTTTTTCAGGCTTCTAGTGAAGGGTCTGATTTTGTTATATATATGAGAACATATATCATTCACATCACTGTGTTACTGTTTGTTGATAACTGTTCTTCTAAATGTACTTTAATTTTAATCAAACCTTCTTGTTCATGTGCATATAAATGTGCATTTCCAAATGTTTCGATTGGACGATTATTGTTGTTTAAAGCTGCAAGTAATCTGCAAACTTTATAAGCTTTCTTTAGATCAGGGGATGATTAACAGGTAAGTAGGTGGTCCTTCGTTGATGTAGGGGGAGGAAATTATTATTCACAATAAAGACGACCATTCAGGTGCAGCACCCCTTATGAATATTAATTCCCACAATTTTAGAAATTCTTGTTCCAGCATTTTAGGAGCTATAATTATTTCACTCTGTGTTTTTGCTTAATGGGCCATATTCATATTTACATTTCTGTGTAAATGTTTAATACATCTATATGTACATAATTTGCAATTCGTATTTATTCTACTTAACTGAATGCAACAATTTGCCTAAGAAATTAGGCACTGAAATGTTACATACCATCTACACAAAAATATTTAATGTATGTATGTATACATATGTATGTTTTAAAGACCAGTGTTTTAATTAAAAATAATTATAAAAGAAATCTCTAATAAGGTTTAAGTTTTTTAAGTTAATTCTCAAATGTTTACAAAATCATGTGGTAAAAATTGTAAATTGAAATATTTGAAAATGTGTATTTCAAAATTGTATTATTAAAAAAATGTTTTTCCAAACAATCATGAATTTTTTTATGTAGTTATATATATGAATATTTTATGTATTGTGATATATCTAATTCTACTGTGTATTGCAGAGTTTGCACAATGCTGAATGGTCACCCACTTAGCTAATACTCTTTGTTCCACTTTTGGCCAGCTTGGAGATGCTGTAATCCCTGTTGCTCTTTCTGTCTTTCTCTCTCCCTCCCTCCTTTCTTCTCCAGGCTTGCCATTCTCTGTTTTTTCCTTTAGCCTTCTAGACCCTGCCTCTTGGTCATCTAACTTGACTTTAATTGGACGACAAGTCTGCCAGCAGCTCAGCCATTGGTGGAGCTTAACAGCCATTATGCTTGTTCAGAAGGGCTGTAACTGTCCAACAGCAGGGGAGGGAAGAATGGGTGAAAAGAAGGGAGTGACAGAAGCGTGGAAGAGGGGGGCTGATTCAGCTGAGAGCAAGGAGGAGTGGAGCCATTAGTGCACGGAGTAGGGAACTTGCTGCCTGTGGGAAAGTAAACAGCACAGGGTTATTTGCCGCCCTCTCAGAGGCCTAAGTCCGGTAGCAGTGGATAAATGGAGGATGAGGATGTGTTCAAGGAGGCAGCTGATTTCATAGCAGGAAGTGCATGGGAGGTTGTTGGGATTAAAGTCCTTCTTGGGAGGTGCTGAAGCTTTCCTGTGGAAGTACTACTGAAGACAAAAAGGTGAGTTGTGCTGTTTATTGGTCTATCAATTTCACTTTTTTCTTGCACACTAATACTCTAAGTTTGCTTCCCGTTCATGCAACAAAGGCAGGGGCACCATGAAAAGGGGTCTTTTCTCTAGAGTGGGGGTAGGAGAAGAGAAGACAGAAGAGGAGGCTGTGCACTCTTTTACTAATTTTGTGGCTCATTGGGAAACAGTGGGATCTTACTAAACCCCAAAGAGACACTTTCACAGGCAGTTAAACCCCCCAAAAATAGTTCACCCCAAAAAAAGAAAATTCCAGACATTGTATGACTTTCAGTGGAACACAAAAGATGATATTTTGATACATTTCAAATGGTTTTGTCTATACAATGGAAGTCCCGTACTGAGACATTTTTTAATATTTACTTTTTCTCTGGTTCAGACGAATGAAAGGTTGGAAGCGATATGAAGGTGATTCAATGAATTTTGGGGTGAACTATCCCTTTAACCCAGTGCTAACCAGCAGAACTTCTGACACAGATGCAACTCTGAGGTGCAAATGCTAACTGGGAATTGTCGAATATTTTCAAACTCCATGTACAGTACATCCATATATCTGATTTAGAGAGAAATTAGAGCAGCTTTTTATGGACTAATTCCAACATAAGATTCATAATCACACACTTTGTATAGTACTGAGGGGCCTCACATCCCTAGTACTCCTAATCTGCATCTAGATGCCACTCAACTTTCACCGACTTCCTTTTACATGTGTTCCGTTTCCCTCCGTTTTTCTCTAAGACAGTTCAGCATCATTAGCAGTCCATGCAAGTCCGAGAGAGAGCTGCAGTACAAATGCACCCTGTCAGTAGTCTCTCCAAACCAAAGGGGGTTTTGGGCCCTCTGGGATGACAGAGGCATATGTACAATCACAGGGGCCTCCTAGCAGAAGTGATACTGGATATTGGGTGGAGGGAGCTCCGTCCACATGAATTTAGAATTTGAAGGTTCCCCGTCTAAGGCATGTGAGAATGTCCTCAGAAAGTGAAAGGTGTTGTATGAAGCCCTCTGCCCTGTTTGAGAACACATTACACAACAGCATGAGAAAAATGAAACACTATATGTTCAGAAGGTGAAAGAGGAGCTTGTGCTTTTTATGTGTTTGTTTCTATAGACGTAAAGGCAGAATTGAACAGATCTTTTGAATCTGTGCACGCCAAACCACATGCTTTGAAGATTTGAGTATGTGAATGAACAATGACATGTTACATGACCCTCTTTGTTGTGTGTTTTATGGTTATACTGTGTTTTGGCATCACTATATTATCAGGTGGCCAATGGAATTCCTTGCTTCAGTCATTTACACATGGTGACTCTGTATTTTATTTTAAATTCGCAATGAAACAGAAGTAGAAACAGACGTTTTTTTCTGTATTGTTTTATATATCTGAGTGTAATAGATTATCAAAAAAAAAAAGTAGTGTGGGACTTGTATCAGTTGTTGATGGATTTTGAGATGTGGGCATTCCACTCAAAAGTGAATGCAAATGAACACAAGCGGATCAGAGAAGTCATGCACATGTCAGAGAGAAGTCTGTTGTTTTCACTGCAAGGCCCAGTTATGATAATATTATTGACTTAACAGCACTTATACTATCAGATAAGAACAAAATTTGAACTGAATTGAGCTAGATAATGACACTAACTTTGCAACATCACACTGTTGTTGAACTGAATTGAATCAAGATTGACTTGAGCTGAATAATAGCAAAGCTGCTTTACTTGTGTCAAAATTGTTGAACTTTGGATCATTGACAATTATTGAACTGAATTGGAACAACACTGAACTAAATCAAGCCACATAATGACACTGTTATCTTCTGTAGAGCTGCTTTACAGCTCAAAAAAAAAATTTCGTAACTGATTAATTTTTACAACATTATCAGTTATTTTTCTGTTTATTAATGTGAAGCTGCTTTTAAACAATCTGTATTGTATAAAGGAGTGAATTTTCATTTCATGCTGAATTTAACATACTATTAATTCAAAAGTGCATTATAGACAACACCAAAGATGAATAATGCATCCTTGCATGTGGTCTGCAGAATCCCCTACTGCTGAGCTGGCACATTTTGAGTATGTGCAATTGTGGCAATAGAGGACATGTAGAGGTTTGTACACAGTCCAGCTGTTTAAATAGATGGGTTAGGTGCAGATTCCATGGAACCTGCCATTAAGTCAGAACACACTGGTGTTATTGTACATATATCCTGCACCTTTTGTCTGTGAGCTCAAATTAAAAAGATAAAAGCAAGATAAATATACACATGAAAAAAGACATACAGTAGCAAATTGCAACACAACCTTATTTTATAATCTGACATTATGTATTTTAAGATTTTGCAGTGTATTCATTCATGCCATGCACATATCCAAGTTTAATACCCTGTGGACGAGGATGACATCATTACTCTGTATGAATCACTGTCGGCATATCGCTGAGCTGTCTTGTGATAACTCCAGCTATCTCATGTGACGGACTCTTGGGACATTGATAAGAAGCGAAAAAGGAAGTTTCCTCCTTGAGTTGATACACTGCTGCCTCCATAGTTTTATTATAGCAAGTACCAGTGGTTGTCAGCTGGTGGTATGCAACTCAAAACTGGGTAGCAGGAAAACAGTACTAAAGCAAATATATAATATAATAATGTACAAAAGTTGCTTAAATACAGTAAATATTCTTATATCAATCAATAACAATGTAAATTCTGTTATGTTATCAAAATGCTGTTGCTGTTGTCAAAATCAGCAGGCGTACATACATTGTGACAGATCATTTTGGGAATGGCACTAAAAGTCTGTCTACTTCCTGAAGAGAGTGAATAATCCACTAGGTGGCAGAATATGTAGTATTTTGTAGTTTTTCAGGAAGGTATTGATTGTGTTAATGTGGAGGCCTTAAAAATGAATGTATCCAATATGATACAGTACATTTGGCATTATAGGGTTAAAAAAGGAGGAGAAAAGACTTTTTATTTTATTGGGATTACATGGGAAAAAATTCATCTGTCACTTACTGTAGTTTAAGATAGGCAAGTTAGGCAGATGCAAACAGAGAGTAGGGTCCTGTGTTGTCAATCATATTTATTATTGATTTACAAATCAATAAAAGATTGGTTTCTCTTTCATATTTCAGTAGACTTCATGGAGTTCTCAGGTGTGTTTCAATATTAATTTTGTCTCAGATGTGGCTCCTAAAATACAGTAATAGAATCAAGCTATATAATTAATGTGATGAGTCCAATTATTAATTTAATCCTAATCTCTTTTGATATTTCTTTTCTATGAGACTTTTTCTCCCAATAGAGCACAACTGACAGTAGTTTTGAATACCCATGCTATGTGCTTTGAATATTGATGCAGACTGGCCTTAACTAATGCACTGTCAATACCAGTCTGCATCAATACTTTTTAATGTCAATCACAATGCTGCATTACTCCACAAGCAAATCAGTTTACTTTCTGCTTCATAAAAAATCTAAGCGGAGGGAAACTGTGCACATACTTGTGTGCCATCAGCCAATCAGCATCGTCATGATGTCAATTTCCTGTGGTTCTCCTTGGTTAAGACTGTCATGTCATACATTGCTATCAGAAATGGATGAAATATTGGAGACAGATGATCCTTTCTCTTCAGCGGTGCTTGGTCCCACCATTTCTCACATCACATATCACTGACCTTTTGACTTGTGATCTAACAAACAGCCAGGCATTCCTCATGATGAATGCAGAAACAATGCTTTGTGAGTTTGTTCAAAGGTCTCATCACAAGAGTTCCATTGTGTGTGGTGTAACATGAAGTGGGTTGGCTGGAGAAACTGTGTTTATGGTCCACTGTAAGGGATGGTCCACTTTATCAGAATTGACACACATGAATAGGGTTACTGAAAAAACATGTCTGTTGTTTTTCAGGCTCCATTCATTACATTAGCATTTTTGTAACTGATTCAGTATTTGAATAAACATATAGGCAAACAACTTGTGGTTAGGTCTTCAAACAACCTTGACTTAAAGTGATGGTGTCCATTATACAAAATATATATAAGTAACTATTTATTATTAAATATTCTAGCGAGCCTGGGTTAATTAGTGATGTGTTATAGTTATGTGAAGTCTAAGCAAGTGGATGAGGTAAAAAAAATCTGATGGTACGTTTTTCTCTTGTGGCTGCGGCTCGCATCAAGTTCAAGACATTGATGCTTGCATATAGAACAGCCACAGGCTCAGCACCCACCTACTTCCACTCACTACTACGAATCTACATCCCCTCCAGAAGTCTGAGATCCGCTAGTGAGCGACGCCTCATGCTACCATCACAGAGAGGGTCAAAATCACTTTCCAGAACATTCTCGTTCACCATTCCTGGCTGGTGGAAGGATCTTCCCACACCTATCCGGAATGCTGAATCCCTGACAATTTTCAAGCGACAGCTGAAAACTCATCTCTTTCAACGATACTTGACTTCATCTTAAATAAAAAAAAAATAGCTTTATCTTTCTCTTTATTTATTCCTTTCCTTCCTAGCTTGTACTTATTTGAACAATGCCTAAAACTTGGTATTACAAGCGCTTCCTGTGTCTGTTTGCCTCTTTAAGAAGAATCGCTTTATGTATTCCCCAATTGTATGTCGCTTTGGATAAAAGCGTCTGCAAAATGACTAAAGTAAATGTAAATGTTGTGGCCATATTATTATGCAAACCAATTTTTATAGTCCTTTAGGCTTATAATCTTCTATTGCAAACATAGATTTTGGATAATAAATAAACAAACATCAATACATAACTGACATTCTGGTTTGTATGCCTAGTTGTGACATCATTTGTGTTCTGCAGAGAAAACCTTATTAGCTGTAATCTATTCCCTTATCCCTGCAGTTTTGCAAATAATCCAAGTAATTCCTGTACAATCATCTCCTCGTGGACAGTGAGGTCATCTACCAAAAGGCAATATCAGCAGACGTGTCACTGCATGGAATTGTGCCAACAAAGGAAACAATTGTGAGGTCATTAAACTGCAAAATGTGGGATGAGGGAGTATTTTGTCTTTAATTAATGGCGCAACTCATTAAATGAAGCTCTTTTTTTTTTACAGTTACATAGACGTGATAACGAAGGAATGTTTAATAAACTGTGTATAGTGCTTTAGGAGGGGGAGGAAAACCTCCCAAATGCCAAATCACTAAATTCCAAAGCAGGCTTGCCTGTAATTGCAACTTGATGACATCATTTTCATGTTATCTTATAGCGTTTTGGTCCAAAATATTATGTCCCAGTGATATACAAACTTGCATTTCATACAATAATGTAATTTACAAAAATATATATTTTTATTTTCAATGTGTAAACAAAGAGTAGGTAGTGTAAACGTTAAAAAAAACTTCATGCCTTAAATATTAATCATATGTCTTATATATATATATATACACACTTTATAGAAGCGCAAGTAAAAGACCTACACACAGTGTAACATGTACAGAGTAACATTTGACTTTTTTTTTTTTACAGAGCCCATGTCCACAGCTTCATCTCACCAGTACCTGGAGAAGGATGTGGAGGAAGAAGAGCAGAGAGAAAATATTAAATTCAAAGATGAGATCGGCAAACAAAAGGGCAAGACTACCTTTGGAGAGGAGACTGCAAAATGCAGTGAGCCTCAGACACATTTAAGTGAATTAGAAGGGACTCAGGAAAAACATTCAGATAACTTATCCCAAGCAGTCACTACAGTTTCCCCTGCTGGTCAGGAGTGTACCAGTCATTATAACACTAGTAAGTTTCTATTTTCAGTCATTTTCACATGTCTTGTTAACCTGGGAAATCATTTGGTATTGGGAATTATTGAACTACAGTACATGCTGGGGAACTTTTACCATTTCAAGGCAAGCTCTTACTACACTTAGCCGGAGAGCTTACCATTTTGGCATATACCTGCTTAAAAGTTAAGGCCTGGGCTGTATCCAAAATCGTCCAAAATCGCCCCCTATACCCTCATTCACTATTCCCTACATTCCCTCACTCAGTCATTTTCACATGTCTTGTTAACCTGGGAAATCATTTGGTATTGGGAATTATTGAACTACAGTACATGCTGGGGAACTTTTACCATTTCAAGGCAAGCTCTTACTACACTTAGCCAGAGAGCTTACCATTTTGGCATATACCTGCTTAAAAGTTAAGGCCTGGGCTGTATCCAAAATCGCCCCCTATACATTCACTATCTATTCCCTACATTAGGTCACTAATTCAGTTCA